AAATTGAAATGCTTGCAACGGAGTGGATCTAGTGTTGTTCAGTGAAGTAGTCGCACTGAAAATACATATAGCTAAAAGCCGATTTTGAAAATTTCACCAAAACTTTGAAATTATTATACTGTTACGTTACGTCGTCGTCGTCGTCGTTGTTACGTCTGTCGCCTGTGCGAGACGACGACGTAACGTAAAAAGAAAAAAGAAATTAAATATGTGTTTAGTTGCGCGGTTGAATAGGTATCGCTGCCACCAATCCCAGTCGCGTATGACGAGTCTGAGCGCGTTCGTGCCTCCGCTCTCTATGACTAGAACAATTTAAAATATTTGACAGTAGACCTTTTAGTCTACTGCGGGTTTGGTGATGCTCTGGTCCCATACGGGTCCATCTTCGAAATCGTATAGTGTTGATATGCGTGAAAAATATGAAATATGTGAAAGTATTTGGTAATTTGAAAGAATGAAATAATTTAATGGTAACCGTTTGTATAATTCGAAAAGAAAATAGATGGCGAAACAATGTAAATGTTGATGTAACAAAAATGATCAGCAAAAACTGTATTTATGAATACGAAACTTCGTTAGAACGAGGGAACGACCTGAATGGAAAATACTTCCGAGACGAACGTCTTGCAGGTCGTCCCTGATCAAACGATGAAAATAGTAAGGGACGATCAAAATGAGAAAATTTCCATGACCGAGACCGTCTTACAGATTGCCCATTTTACCTGTTTATGAGATCCAGATCGTCGCAATGAAAGAATTTGAAATAGACAAACTCATCGTAATAGATGCTATAATTTTATATACGTAATATATGCTTGTGTTGTTCGCTGGTGGTTGTCTGGAGTCTGAAAAACAAGGAGAATGAAAATGCCTGCTGCACATACAGTTGTCGCGCCGATATTAAGATATTACGAGATATAACGAATTAAACACGACCGCGACCGGATCTTTAATACGTTTAAAATCGATTTTAAGATAAAACAAAAGAAAAGATAGAAGAAGAATTTAATGTGCGAAGATTTAACGTGTGCGTCTGATTGTGAGTCTTTGCCGCGAAACCGAATAATCTAATAATTCACGACACTATCTTCGATGCAAAGAACTTGCCGAGCAATTAGATACCCGAATTTACACGACACTCTTTCTCTACGACACACGGGCTCAACGTCATGTACCTCGCAACGATTGTTCGACGAAGAATGCAATTTCGGGATCGCGACGTTCTTCTATCGCTTATAACTACGCAGTTCGGTTGAGTGCAACGACGATTTCAAGGAAGGATATACATACATACCTAAATACTGTTTGAAATAAGTGAATAAATACCGAAATTCCACTAACTATTGTAAAATTTACAACGCAAAACTCTTCCTTGTGCTCCTCACATGGGAACGAAATCCAAATGCAAAACACTGATGAGGAACACAGGGTCGGTGAAATGTTGTGAGGAATAAATAAATTTTGAAAAATACGCTGGGATGTAACAATATTATTCCCCTTTAGTAATTCAATACGCCGCTAATTATGAAAGTGGTATAAGTTGAAGAAAGAAATTTACGATTTGATCCATGTAGGTACTGTTAATAATTATTACTGAAAATACTGTTATCGGTTAATTAACGAAACTGTAAATTTTCTTCAAATTTCATTTACTATTCTGGATTGTTATCGAAAAATTAAATTGACAAACAACAGACAAAACCTTTAAAGAAAGAAAAATGCGCACCCACGCCACGGCTTAAATCAATCCAAAACAATGTACACACACAACTCTATGGCAACTTGTGCGTACATATCATAGATGTTACCCTAGGTTTGTATTTACACTCGATACAGTGTGTACAGCTTCCGGCGAAGCAAACGCAATGTGCCTCCATACTAACACGCGTCCATGCTTGCCTATCGGCACATTGATTGATAATGCACTGCGAAAGGTTCGGTCATAGTACTACATACACGTGCGTGAACACAAAGCTCGGTTGATAGGGGTACGTCGTTTAAAATTGGAGAAACAATCATTTTGATCCCAACCATTTCCTATAGATATTGTGAACAACATTGTGAACTACGCACTTATCCGGTTTCTAATATGCATCAGAAAGATGTAATATTGGAAATAAATAAATATATAACAAAACTTGTTTTCAGGATATGTTTGTATGAAGGGACAATGCATATCTATTTCCAAAGAATAAAAGCTATTGAAGCACTTCTGACGACTAAAAATAATTTTCTATTCAAAATCATAAATGGCTAAGGCTCATGTCCATAATTATTACAGTCTATTTATTTTAAACTCTTTCAGGAAAGAAAATTGTACGTTTTTTAAAAAGAAAAAAGATAACGAAACCTTTATAAATTACATCTTTGACTGTGAACACTTTGACTGTGTATGTACATACATACGACAACCTATCAAATAACTGAGTATCAAGGACTATGTTTTATTTATTTTGAATAAAGCAAAGTTTTAATTTAGCAACGTCGGATCGTAAAATAGTGATGGTTTCCTTTTAAAACGCTTTGCAGTCAAAGGGTAAATGAAAACTATCATTGAAGAAAAATGAATCATTCATGTTAGTTGTGAATCTTATAATAATCACTGCCACTGATCGAACTCAGAATTGGCCGACACTTTAATGAGAACGAGATTGAATTACCCAGTTCTGCACGAATCCTAAAATGATTCATTTAATTTGTGACGCCGGCGTCGCGTCGCGTCGCCGGGATGGCCCGATTCTGTCGATCTTAGCGGCGCGCTTTAAATATACATAATTACGCGATTGCTGGGAATAAAATATGCAAGCCAGATGAATATTAAGTTTCGTTGACAGATACAGCGCGCCGCGCCGCGCCGCGCCGGTACGATGTGCATGAATTTCTGTCCAGTGGTGAACTGTGGTTCAACCGCTGAATGGATCATCAGCTGGTATTATAAAAATTTTGTTGATCACTGTTGTATTTGATGCACTGAAATACGTTGTTACTGTCTGAAATTTATAACGATCAATGAAATAAAAAAAATGAGACTTCTTATATGTATAATAACAGAACAATAGGTATATTAGATTGTTAGATCAAAAATCTAACAAGCTTTAGTGACACAATAGTATCGTAAAAAAAATCATACTCATTCTGTATCAATTTGAAGCTTAAAATTACTGAAAATTATTATATAAACATTTCATCGATATTCTTAGTATATTATAAAATAGCTAGGTGCCAATTGCAGCAAACAGTGATTGATTTTGAAATATACAAAGCCTGATACGATTTGATGACATAATACAATAGTATTGCAAAATAGCACTTATGATACATAAATTTAAAGCTTGAAGTTTAAAGTTTCACTAATTTTTTGAATACAAAATGATTGGTGACCAGTTATAATAAACGATGATTAGTTAATAAAAAAAAAAATCTACAGATTATGATACGATACAACGGCCAGACGATTCTGTGGCAAGTATAGGCAAATAGTATAGAAACATTTGTGAAAAGTTTATATACCTAATCATCCACAGTAAATTACACTGTCCAACAAATTTTAACTTCTTTTTTTTGTGTTCCGATCCCCACTAGGTGATTCTTATAGTGTTTTATACGTTGGTTTGATTACGAATCTGAAAACTAGATAGAACAGATTTTTACCTTAAAAAACCACCCGGAGAAAGTTGCAACATCGATTTTTTTATCAAGCCAGAAAGCGAAATAGCTCCGCGGGAGACCAAGTACCGACAGTGATGCTCCGCGTCAGGACGGTTACTCGGCGTCCCAGCTAATGCAGCTGCTTTAAGCGGTAATATAGGCGGGACGCTTAGCAACCGTCCTGACGCGGAGCATCACTGTCGGTACTTCGTCTCCCGCGGAACTATTTCGCTTTCTGGCTTGATAAAAAAATCAATATTGCAACATTCTTCGGGTGGTTTTTCAAAATAAAACGATTTTACGCTGAACCTCTACTTTTTCAGAGAAATTGAAAAATATCCTAAAAAGTTGGTGCCAAATCGAGGTCCCTCCGCGTTCAATGATCGTTTAAACATACTTAAACACTTATAATGTATTAAAGATAGGTATCGTTGTATTCAGGAAAGTTTACAGAATCTTTTAGTATAAATAGAATTTCAATATCTTTTACAATTACGTCAGAAAATTTGTTTAAATCTGAAAAATATGTTTTTTTTTCAAAATCAACATTCTCAAAACCTGTAGGTGTAGGAGCAAAACGGTTTGCAGATTCGTAATCAGCGTACAAAACGCTATAAGAATCATCTAGTGGGGATCGGAACATAAAAGAAAAGTTAAGATTCGTTAGGCAGTGTTATAGACTTCAGTTTGATATTTCCATTGGTGTTATTTTGTAACAGTTTTATGTCATCAAATTATCATATTAATTTATATTATCAAAACTCTTTTTTTTTTTTTGCTTTATATAAACAAAGTTTTTTAATAAATTCTATACAAAATATTGGTTGTAAATTATTGTTCATGTGAAAATATGTTTTCGAGTTTTAAAACATCAATTATGTTTGCACTTCCGCTTCTAGAATATCAGTGAACAGGAAACTGCAATTTGCTTATGATTCTTTAAAAATGCAATCTATAAATATGAGATCTGTACCTTAAATTACCAGAATCTTTATTCGAAATCCAAACGATAATTAAGTTTCTAAGTAACTAAAATAAACAACTCTATGGAGATATTTAATCTTATTTTACATTTAACCGTGTAATGAAACATAATAAAAGACATTCAAAATTGTATATAATCAATTTGTGTTTTTTTTCTTTAGTTAATATACCTACCTGACACAAAAAGAAACAGAAATATAAAGAATTGTATCACCCTCTAAAACTAATAAATATATTAATGAAACTTCATTTTCATGCTTCGTAGACATGATTGAAAAAAATATCCGAAAGAAATTGATATACATATAATAATATGAAAGTACCGGAGAAAATGAAACACTTAAACATTGAAAGTTTTCGTTTTCCAGAGTCGTATATTGGAAGATGCCTCCATTATGTGCAACTCCTGGTCACCAAGGCATAACGTGAGTACATTATAATATTATTATTCCTTTTTAACTATCGTATCCATTCCAAGTCGATTTTAAATTGGAAAGGAACGAATACTTCTAAATTCATATTCAACCAATGTTTAAACCAAATAGTGTTCAATGGTCAATTACAATAGAAATATCAGAAGTAATGTTTTATGCTATTGTCATATTTTATGTTATTTATCAACGACAAAAATGACTATAAGTATTAGTAAAAAAGAATAGAATGGAAGGTATACATTAGTAATTACTAATTTGAATAATTATAATTAATGGAATGGGCTAAGAGTTATGCTAAACATGAAATATCTTATCTCTTTTTATGCATTGTGATTACACTTGTCTTGAATAATTTTCAAATATTCCACTTCACAGAAAATATCTACAGAATCATATGTATGAACTTCCCCTAAAATGTTTCGTATTTTTATATTTCATTCATGTCTCAGTACTATATTACTCAGGTATATTTACTTAAAAAATATCACAAAACTTTAATCTAAACGAGCATGAAAATTTTTCATATCAGAACGAAATTAAATTTAAATAAAGAATACAATGCGCTCCTCATAATCAAAAGCAACAATTTTTAAGTTAAAACTGAACAATGCACAATGTATAATAAAGTTTGAAATAGAAGGAAGCCAGGATAAGCGTTGATGAAAGTAAAATAGAATAATAGGATATTTAGAAAAGCCAGTTAAGCTGGGAAAAGGTGGGGCAGAGGAACACCAAGACAAGTTCGGGAAAAAAGGGAAAAGAGAATAACTCCGAAACTCTGTTGCTTTATACGAAGTGCTCCATAATATTTATGCTATACGAAGCCACGTAGTTACGGTGGCTTGGCTGACATAAACTCGCTAACTCGTGGTTACGATTATGGCCAGTGGTAAATTGATTATTTAGATATACGATGAGCTGATGCGAAATAGTTTGAGTACCGTAAAAAAGAAAAGAAAAAAAACAGCTATGCGCTGCTTATGTTAGCAGCGAATGCAGCAAACGCTTGTAACTATACATATGTACTTACCGTTTGATAATTGGTTAATACCCTTTCTGTGAATTTATTATCAAACCGCAAAATGCAAATCCATATTTCTATGGAAAATTAGTAATAAACTAGGATCTGTATAGAAATTTGCTTTATGTTTTGGTGAATTTTGAACAGGTGTGTTTTATTTTGTGACATTTTTTACAATTTATTCATTTCGTTATTTTGAAAAATTCATTTCGATTGAAAATTATAAAATTAAATTTTGCTGTCTCCTTTTTTCTTAACTCTAAAAAGACAGAGCATTATAGCAGTTAGGTATTCATTTCTAATGCTATTTTCTTTAATAATAGCTTTAATGAACTAAAACATTTTTTTAGGACTGATTTTAAATAATAATTAAAATGAAATAATTTTCTGAAAAGTTTCTAGATGAGCGAAATAAAATGTTTTCAATATTATTTAGCTCAAGGGTTAGAGAAGCACGTCTCCTTAGGCTTTTTAGATAAAATAAAACTATTTTCTTTATTTATTATTGTGTTAATTATTTGATATTGAAGGCCGTTGTTAATTCGATTTTCTTGAAATATAAAATATATCCTGTTTCATAGATTCTTGAATGAATATTAAACCACAATTGGCTTAAAATTTAATACTTGTAGTGTAAGAAAAGCAATAGCTAGACGTAGTTGTATAAGTTTCTGAATGTGTTTGAAAAATATAAGCAACAACTGGTGTTAAACGCAAACTCATTTTTAAATAGAAAATAAATTGATAAAATAAGTGGATGACAAATGGAAAATAAATTAACATATAAAATCAATCTTTACCTCGACAAAAACACCATAATAATTTCTGTAATTTAAAATCAATATATTTGAAATCTATGAATTCAAAATAATAATAAAATACAACTGTGATTCATAAAAAGTGTAATCGTAAGCATTCTGCACAAAACTATATTTTGTTTCTTCACGTTTCATACTCAAACATTGAACAAAATAACAATTTATATTTAAATTGCATATTTATGTTTTATGCGTGTGTGTTCGATTATGTTTTTCACTATATTTTATACCACAATTCTAGGCATCACGATATTACAATTTCCGCCGATTCGTTGCATGATAATTTAAAACACGAGCCGACGTTTTGCAATTCGTCATTAATAATAGATCGTTAACCGTGTTATCCAATAAACGGCATCAATAATTAGCAGATGGCGTCGAACGAACTCCCGGCGGCGCGGCGTGGCGCGGCGACTGGTTAAGTTTCACGGCAGACAGAGCAGGAGAATTTCTAACGGGGTAAAATATCGAACAAGATACAAATTTGGATCGTTTCTAAATCGATGGCGCCGTCGCCGGGGGATCGACTACTGTCTGTGTCACAAGTGAAACCGAATTTGATCATGGCAGCAGAGCCGCGCGACGCGATGCGACGCGACGCGACGGAGTGAATATTCTCGTTACTCTAGACAGCAGCTACTCCGCCATGCAAGTGATAATTCGTACAGTCTGCTCATTTTCGTGTCAGATGTCAGATTTTCTCGAAGGATTTATTTATTCATGCGTCAGACTGTCTTGCAATGTAGGTTATCGGACAGAAATAACGTAATTGTCCCAATTTGCGATATCCGTTGGCCGTCGGTCCGGGAAAGGTTCTCCTTTTAGATTCCAGTTAACCATAGTTTTAATCGAGTGTTCGATTCCTAATGTATTTTCAGTTTAATTCTTGACGTATAGCAGTTTTTACTTTCTTCAAAGACACAACATATGGAGTTCACCTCCTCATAACCAGAAATTTTATCTTGAATAATGCAGGGTCTTTCAATAAGAGCGATAGATCTTTCATTTGTCACAGCCGCCATGTTTGTTATTCAATTATAAGAGTCACGTGAATAGACAAGTCGTCATGAATAGATACTCACAGTTGCTCAACGCGTTGAAATTATTAAAATTTATTATCAAAGTTCTTATTCAATTCGAGAAACCTTTCGTGCATTTCGTTCAATACATATATGGTCAACATAATCAACCAACAGAACTGACAATTCATCATCTGGTACAGAAATTCGAAGCCACTGGCTCAATTGTTGATCAACACATTTCGAGACGTCAATGTAGTGCAAGAAGTGAAGAAAATATTGCGGCTGTAAGGGAAAGTGTTACTGACAATCCAAACTTATTGATTTCATGACGTTTTCAACGATTAGACATTTCTCAGACTTCTGTATGGCGAATTTTGCATAGAGATTTCGGTCTTCATCCTTACAAGATTCAGTTAACTCAAGAACTGAAGCCTACTAACCATCGCATGCGTCGTGAATTTGCTGATTGTGCTTTAGAGCGTATGGAAACTGATCCTTATTTCGCCACAAAAATCATTTTCAGTGACGAAGCTCACTTTTGGATTGATGGCTTTGCCAATAAACAAAATTGCCGAATTTGGAGAGATGATTATCCTCGATCAGTAGTTGAGCGATCATTGTACCCAAAGAAAGATACTAATTTGTGTGATTTTTATACTGGTGGAGTAATTGGCCCTTGTCTTTTTCGAAATAAAGGAAGTGTAACTGTAACTGTTACTGGTAAGCGTTACCGTTCGATGATTTCATCATCCTTTTGGCGTTAATTGGATGGATTTGATTTGTTTGAAATATGATTTCAACAAGATGGTGCTCCACATGCCACACTTCTGTTGCAAGTATTGCTTTATTGAAATCGAAATTCAACGATAGGATTATATCGAGAAATGCGGCTGTCAACTGACCGCCAAGATCTTGTGACTTAACGCCATTAAACGTTATTCCTCTTGTTTATTCCAACAAATCACAAACTATTGATAATCTTAAAACAAACATAATTCGTGTTATCGGTGAAATACGACTTGATTTATGTGCCAGAGTCATCGAAAATTGGGTTTGTCGTATTAACTCCACCAAATACAATCATGGAGGTCATTTATATGATATTGTATTTCATGTATAGTGCAATCGAATACACTTTAAAATAAAGCAGTAAATACTAGATTATCTACCGTATTTTTCGCTTTACATGTTTCAATTCAACGTTCAATCGCTCTTATTGAAAGACCTTGTACATCAATTAATGTTTGTAGTTTTTTAATAGAGAAGAATTTCGTTAACAATAAGAAATTTATTATTGATTAGTTTTATAATATTAATAGAAAAATTCACCGAGTGTCCTCTTTTTAAGCCTAGCAAGAATCGTAAAATTGCTTACGTCATCGAGTACAAGAAAAATGAATGCTTCTGACAAGTATTCAAAAAGTATAATGAATAATGATATATAGGTAGATGTGCAAGATGCATTTGATTTGTCTAACCGCTCCAGAGTTAATTCACATTTCCACGAAACTGATAATTTTTATTTTAAGTAAAAATTTGTCTGAATCATCTTCATAAGTTTTGAACCAAAATAGTATAAAAAACAAAGATAACATTAAAAGGAAGGACAGATCTATATTTTTTAAGAAGCCACATGGTTCTAAGATTATCTGTGTGTTAATAAAGGAATATCTAATATGTATTAGTTTATTAATAATTGATTTCTTAATGCATAACTGATGGTATTTTATGTACCAATTATTATTAAGTCTTTTACCTCTTGTATGTATAAATTGATATTACTTTTAATACTTCAGCGATTGATGTATTGAAATGAATGGAATAACCACAGTTCCTTTTATATTTTTTATTCACTCCTGTTAAATTCTTTACCGCTGCTATTTTAAAGCTCGGACTTGTTTCCAATTGTTGAACCGTAATGGAAAACAGAACTGCGCTCATTATATAGTCATGAGTGTGTATGTTGCGTTCGATTGCATCGAATTGTACCCTAGCCACCTTAGTATTTGTGTGTATGTATTTCATTTATGCAGTTTAGTTCATTCTGACAATGGCGGTTTACTGTTTTTTCAATTTCGAAGATTTTGCATAATAGATAAAAGTGGATTGTATCATGGAATGACGAATTGC